TAAAATCCTATTTTCGTCTTATACTGTATTTTTAATGTATAGAACAAGTTTTGATAAAACTTATATTTCACTAAAAATTTTAAAATCAACATTTTGGGAAAGGGGAAAAAAATCAAAAAACAAAAAAAACTTGACCCTCTATTTTTGGGGCCATTTTTATAACGAAAACAGTGTTTTTTAAAATATTTCGTATTTTATGATGGCGATGATTTTAAAACCCTTTTTTTTTATGATTTAATTTATAATATTTACTAAAAAAATTATTATTTTTTATAAATTTATTTTTAATGAAAAAATTTATTAAAAAATTATTTTTTGAAAGTGTTGATGGTTCAATCTTTTAAAAAAAAAAGTCCCGGTATAGAGAGGACACACATTTTTCCAAAAAATATTTTTACATGCAATTTAATTTGGGGGCTTTAACCGGTTTTAAAAATTTGGGGTATTTCTATTAAAAGCCCCCTGTTTTTTGGGAAACTATATTTTTTACAATTGTTTTAAGATGCGGACGAGTAAAAGATTTCCCCAAGTTTTATTCGTTGCGTAAAAAGGGGCCCCCCCCCTTAATTAAATTCCCAAAATTTAATTTTGAATATTTTTTCTGGGTTTTTAAATTTCCCGGGATATTTTAAAACATTGATGTTTTTTTTTTTCAGAGGGGAAATCTCAAAACCAATTTAAAGAATTGACAAACAATATCACGGTTAAAATGGGGAACGAGAGGGATATTTTGGCCAAACTTAAAGGTTTTCCTTTTTCTAGTATTGTCAATGTAGTTTTCTTTACTGATATCTTCCGTCATGAAGGTGTCAAATACTGAAAATCAAATGAATAAATCCGATTTTCATTATACTTTTTTTAATGCATAGGACAGGGTGAAATTATGATTATGATGATGATGATGATGATCATTATTTACTGGTGATGATTATTTTGAAGACGGAACCAGTTATAATGATGATTATAATTGTGATGATGTACTGATGATTATTATTATTATTTGATGTTTCTTTGTAATGATATTGATAACAATGATGTTGACAATGATGGTCTGGTCATGATAATGATGATGATGATGTCTTGACAATGATAGTAATGTGTTTGTTGTTGTTGTTGATTTTATGATTCCTTTTTGGGGATTTTTTAGATGTTCTTAATTTCGGGATGATTAAAGATGTAAGGGCATTTTTAGTAAAAGGGGGTTGATGATACTAACCCTAAATGGGATTTTATGCCCGCTGCTTCTTTGCCCCTCTTTAAAAAATGAGGATGCTTTTAATGACGAAATTTAAAATTATGACTACGGAGAATGTTATGAAAGTACTGATTTGATTTTTTTTGATGATGGGAAAAATTTCATTTATTTATTGATTTGTGAAAATGGGTTTCTGATGATTGCTTTTAAAAAAAATAATGATTAATGGGTGGGGATTTAATTTATCAAATACTGAACTCAAAAAATTTAACCTTTATTTTTTGTAGTTCATCTTTTTTTTTTTTCAAAAGGTTTAGATAAGTATTTTGTTTTATTTGGCATTTTTTTGGTCTAAAGAATGGTTTAAAAAACAATTTCAAACTAAAGAAAAAACCCCAACCCTTTTTTTAAATGCGTTTGTTTTTAAAAAAAAAAGAAAAGCAACTCTAGAAAATTTTTGTTTTTCTTTTTTTCATGTCAATTTTTTAAATTTTAAAACCTTTTTGTTCTTTTCGATTTTTTCCTTTTTGATATTTTGACCAAAGGAACCCTTATCATGTCATTAATTTAAACGGCGATAAATTTTTAGAAAATTCTATGAAAATCTCGAAATTTTACATAATGTTTTTGTTTTTTTATAAAAATAATTCAACTGAGTTTGATTTCATCCTTTTCAGTATACCATATATACTAAAAAAAATATAATTTTGTATTTTTTAAAAATCCCGGGTTTTTCAACCAATCTAAGCATTTTTATTTTCACAATTTTTAAGGATTTGGTTTTTTTGATACCCCCAAAAGATGGGTTTGTAAATTTTCAATATAATTTTCAAACGGGGGATCAGGGGTTTTGACAAGTCAACGGTTAATTCCCCGAACCAACAAGGGGGAAATTATTTTTTTTCTGTACATTCTTAATCAACACAAAAATTCTCCTATTGGGCTAGTCTTTTAAAAGGTACATTTGTTTTCAAAATCCCAAAAAAAATCGCGACGACGGAATTTCTTAAAACTTGCGGGTCCCGGGGTTTTGGCCCATTTTAAAATGAAAAACCCGGAGGAAAATTTTTTGGGGTTTCCCAAATAACTAGGGCAAAAAAAATTACGTGTTTTTTTAGAGATGACCTTTTTAATAACTCATTTAGTGGAGTCCGATTTAAAAAAAAACAACATAAATATGAAAAATGTTTAAAGTATAATAACACCTTATACGATTAATTTGGGCCCTAAAAAATTTCAAAATTAGGGACTTAGAACCCCCTTTTAACCCCTCCCGGCCCCCTTTAAAAATTAAAAAATGACTTTTGACCCTTTTTCTCTAAAATTTGACCCCCTTTAAAAACAATTTTGTACTTTAAAGGGGAAACCCTACTTTGAGAAATATTTAAGCAAATAGCAAATATCTAATTTATTTTTTAATTACAAGATCCGACAAAATTTTGAAAAGGTAAAGCAATAAATTAACATTGTTTTAAGAAGTTTAATTTTTTGTTACATAGAAGTAATAATATAGATTTTTTTCATAAAAACGCGGGGACAATATATATACATTCGTATTAAATAAGGTCCCAAATAAAAAGTGAGGGAACAATGATAATTAATTGGAAGTAATTTGATAAAAATCTAAATTTATTTAACTACAAACGCGTAACGACTCTTCTACAAAATTTCAGCACAAGAATACATTTTACAGTATGAACATTTATTTGAAATTACATTGCACTGTCGAACATAAGTTTTAAAAATGTGTTTTTTAGTTTGAATTGTTTCCGTAGTGTCTAAACTGTAACATGAATAACATTTTCACCAATTTACAAAACAAACCCAAAATTTCATTAAGAAATTATTTTTTTCAAACTTATTATCTTGTGATTTTTCAACCTGCTAAATTGCGTTGAAATATTTAGTATGTTTGAATATTTTGCTTACCCTTTGTAATACACATTCTGAATGGAAAACTCATAATGTTTAAAAGACTCCATCCATACACCTTCCTTATTTACACTGTTCTCTTTGCAGAGCTTCCGTCGTTTTCAAAACTTTTATGATATATAATACATTCATTCTGGAGGTCAACATGTGTGTATTTGAGTAAATTCATTTTCGCCATTGGTTGCCCATATGCCCATATGGGTGAGTACTCCAGAAGGGTATTAGTCATTTTATATTTTGGAGGATAGTTCAAGGTATACATAAAGAATTAAAATTAAATCCGAAAATCTTTTAATTTTAGTTGGAAGGACAGGGAATCTTACCCACTTTGTCTCACGCCCTAATTGAGGGATGCAGACTAGCTTAAGGTATACATGACAGCAATGCCCTTTATTTGAAAAACCCTGATGACAACTTCATATCGATGTATTGTTACTATTTATGCCTCCATAAAAGGTTTATGGACTATGGTTGTCGGCATTAGAAAATATTGGAATTCATAACAAATACCTGTAATCCAAGATTAAAATTTTTTCGAGCATGTTTGGCTATCTGGAGAAATATTATACTGCACTCCACTGAAGTCTGAACAAGGTACTAAAATCAAGTCTTCTTGGCTTGAATAAGATGCTCTAGTTGGCAATTCTTACCGCTTTTTATGTCAATTATTTCTTATTTTGTCAGATGTTGCCTAATTGGAAGTCAATGTCAGTTATAGTTCATGACCTGTTTCACCGTATAACACAAACATAATTTGATGATACAAAATAGAACAATGGAACAAAGAAACACTGCCCCGGCCATTTTAAGTACCAATGTTGTTGCTTGATAAAAACAAACCACTAGAAAATGATAATGAAAGTGTACTTCAAAAGTCATTGTCTATAATTTCAAGTAAGTGTTTTTCTTCGTTTGTCAAAAGCTCTTCATTTCCGGACTTAGGTGACCATCTGTTGCTTCAATTAAGAATTTAATGGGGCCAAAAGCTTACGTAAAGTGAATGATGTTTTGAAAAGTTATGAATTGGATATTATGCAAAGGGAAGATAAAAAAGTGATGACAAAAAAGTGATGACAATCACATTACATTACCATAAGCTCGAACACAATGTGCGGTCCCGGAAAATCTATATTAGAGTAATATGACTGTTTAACTTTCAACTGATAAGACAAACAATAAAAATAAATAATACATACCAAAAATAAACCACATTTACCTTTATTTTTGAATATGAAATTATCTAAAGTCTTGTAAAGTAAATGCGACAGAACACGTACTTTTACGGAGAAATGTTTTTAAAAACATCTACACAGGCTTTCGTTGGACCATTGTCCGTAAATTGCAGCAAGACCGATAACTTATGTATTGTTCTACTTGGAAGCGCTAGATTTTTGACCGAATATACTTTTTAGTTGAACATAAAAAGAAGCCGCAATTGTAGCTTTTAAATGGCGTTATTTTACCTTTGCATTCCCTATGGGAGATTCGTGACTGGCATAAACAGACTAAAACACACACTAGCAACAGTGTATTTTCATATAACAACAACAACAACAACAACAACAAAAACATACAAAAAACACAACAACAACAACAACAACAAAAAACAACAAAAACGGGAGTTATCATTAACCTTTGTCTACAAGGTATTGTTAAAAAATATTCTTTCCAAATTGTTAAAAAATGTTGACTCTCTCGAGTCCCACTCGAACTTAAAACTCAATCAAGAATTGGTTTATTTTTTAAATTTTCGCTTTTTAAGCATATTTTCCTTGTATTTCTCTTGTTTATCTTATATCGAAAACAGTGTTACTTTTTCAATGCATCCTTTTTTTATTCTTATTCAAGTACATGAAAAACATCAGCGTTTAACTAACACAAATTGTTAAAGATTTTACAGTCTGCAAAGGGTCGCGCGCTACGTCAAAATGTCTTTCACTATTTACTTTGCGATTTCTGCATTGTTCCAACTTTACGCAACTGATTTTTCTCTGGCTACTGAACCGGTTTGTTCCAAATTTTCTTACGAGGAAAAACTCCTCGAGAAAATGATACGCACAGAGATTAAAGTAGAAACAATTCACAACGAAATAAAGAAAACAGAAGAAACTGTCAGGAATACTCTTGTAGAAATAAAGAACACAGCGCTGGAAATTCACGATAAGTTCGAGAGCTTCAGAAATAATCTTACGGGAGAAACTGCAGCACAAATAAAGGCATTAGAGGAAAAGGAAGGTATGTCATTTTTTTATAAAAAGTACTCAACAACTTTATAGATTGACTTTAGAATAAGAACAGATATCACCAATCAAGCATTATCGACCGCCACAGCGTCCAGATGTCTGACTTTCATTTATTGCAATGACAATTACGGTATTCGTTTCAAATATATAATCTTTGTTCTTACTATCAACAAGTATGATTATGCTATGTAAAATGTTATTTTTATACTTTTTTTGCCAGTAAAAAACAACTTTAAGTAATTTTTGTTTTTGAATTGACTCCGGAATTTTCCGGAATTTGAGAGTGGAACAATATCATATTGGTTTTTATTACATACATTTTAACAGTATCGCAGATTAATTACATTCCTTGTTGTTATATTGAAACAAACATTATTTTTATCCTGGTAATTTCCAAATGATGGGCAACATTCTATGAATACAACATGTAGGTAAATGAGTAAATACATGATTAAATAAATAGATAAAAATAAACAAATACGGTGCAAGTGTTAAATAACGACAATATAGCAAATTGCCAATCCAAGCCGAGTGCGCAAGTTATTTGTCAAAATCCTTTTAACTGATTTCACTTGAAGATATCGTTTAATGGACTGTTTGCTTAATTCGGACACATTATTAACCTAATACTGTACTAACGTAACTTTTGTTGTTGTTTTCTTAGATCAACTCGAAAACATATTTGACGAGCTGAAAATCAATCTCACGATGAAAGTTGGAAACGAAATGGACAGCTTGGCAAAGCTTAAAGGTTATTTCTTCTTTTTTTATATTTTCAATATAAATATTTTGTCAGATGTTATTTTAGAACCTCATAAATTTGTGATAGCATTAAGCATTTAGCAATAAAATTCTGTACTTCTTTGAGGATATCAGTATCGCATAACTTTGTCAGGAAATTATATATCTCTTAAGTGTTTAAGATGTAATGTATTTTAAAACTAATTTTAGCGTAAATCTGGTTTATAATGGTAATGTTCTTTTTTTTTAAACTGTCTTATTTACAAATGAGACTTTTCCTATACTAGTAAGTTACAGTATATATTACCGAGCAGGTAACGTTTCCAAATTATTTTTGCTGTTTTAGGCGTTCTTAAGGGATTCCATTTTTTCACTCTTGTTATAGGTAATCAAAATTAAAGTTTCTTTATGAATTATTCATAAATTATTGTCTGAATTGAATGAGGCATCTGATAAGCTATCATTTAATCGCCTGATGTCACACTGATACCAGTTTCGATAAATTTATCTATCTTATCAAAAATTCAAATAGAACCATTTACGTCTTTTTTGTTCTGGTAATTCTTTTTGATGATAGATATCAATTGAAAAGATGATAAACGATTTTTTGGTCCGTATTTAACGTCCATACTTTAACTGACTTTCCATTAAAATACAGTGAAAGGGAAAGTGGAGTGAAGTTTTAGATGAGCAGATATTGTTATATGTGCAAATTTAATGAATTAAACAAAGTCTATTTTATTTACAGAAACAGTTTTACAACCAAGTATAGCATTTCATGTTCACAATGTCAAGGACTTTGTCCTTGATACCACAAACGAAGTTCTAGTGTTTGAAAGTATAATTACAAACGAAGGATCAGGGTATGACAAAACAACAGGGATCTTCACAGCGCCTATTGCGGGAGTTTTTTTCTTTTCTGTACATGTTTGTACTACAAAGGCAAAATTTTCTCCTATTGGACTAGTCTTGAATGGTACATTCATTGCAAAATCGGTAAATCGCGACGACGATAATCATACTTGCGGCTCGGTTTCGGCTATTGTTAAAATGAAACCAGAAGGAAAGGTTTGGGTTACATGTACAGCTAGTAGCTCCACTTACGTTTTAAAAGGAGATGACGCTAACCATATGAATACTTTCAGTGGAATGCTAATAAGCAAATAGAACAAACATCTTTTTGTTTAATACCAATTTACTAGCATTTATTTTATAATAATACAACGCTTTTCTTTGATCAGCACAGTGCAGTTATTTTAGGCAGTGACATCTATGTGCAAGTCTTGCATCCGACTTAACAATTATTTATATAATTCAAAACAACCTAGATGGTTATTGCTTAACGAAAAGTAACATATTGTATACGCTGTTTTTTTAATAAAAAAATCACACAGTTTCATATAAACCGTGTCAACTTCCCACCAGTTACTACTTCGCCGTTTTAGAATATTAAAGATACGGCTACGCAAGATTTAGTTTGTAACTTCGCCCGTCTGAAATCGAATACAACCGATTAGTATTGATCTAGCAGTTTCAAAATTGTGTGTATCAATGCGAATTCATTACGCAAATTTGCAAATTTTAGATTTCGTAGCCCTACTCATACATAAGCATAACTTTTTACGATTCTACATAACCAGACTTCAATCAAAATGTTCCATACTTTTAAGAACATTTGAATGAAATTAAATAAAATGAAATGTTATTTTATAAATCAAACTGAAAGTTTACATATTACTTAAAGTGTAGACTTGATTTCCATCCAGCCATTTTCTCTTCTTTTTCTTGTCAGATTGGTGCGCTCGAGGGTGTGGAATTGGTCTGTCATTAGCATTCCTAGCACTGCATGGGAGGATTTGTAATTATATATATATATATATATATATATATATATATATATATATATATATATATATATATATATATATATATATATATATATATACATATATATATATATATATATATATATATATATATATATATATATATATATATATATATATATATATATATATATATATATATATATATATATATATATATATATATATATATATATATATATATATATTAATCTTTTTGCCAAGTTTGCATTCGAAGCCTTTATAAGCATCATAGACATATTATATGAGATTTATCGTTGTTGTATAACTGCTTTATGCTCATCATCAACAGCCATGCTTTCAATCAAAGTAGAAAATCACTCTCTACGGTAACGTTCAAAAGAGGAAGGCAAGAAATTATATATAAGATGGAATGTATGTAAGCTTTTGTACACAGTTTTCTATCTTAAGCCATTCTCGATGGAACTTTCTTCTCAGAAAAAATGTTAACATGTATTGTAAAAGCAAAAGTTATTTCAATCTTAACATTTCTTCATAAATGTATTTACTGGATAAGACCAATCGCGGATTCTTGGTGAAACATTAATGTCCGTCGCCTTGATACTTGCTCGTTTTGTTCAATTTGTTATCAGTTGTTATTCTAAAAATATAAATAGCCGTTGCATCATGTGGTGATTGAAATGTGAATTCGTTATTGACCAGCACTACAGACGGACGAAACAGATGGACATGACCCATTATCTGATTTTTTTTCACTTTTATAGTTTAACATTTTTAGAAAAATGTTTTTTCTTTACTCCGTGGGCGCATTCAAATTTCCTTTTCTTACATACGTTTTAAACTTTGCCATTTAAAAAGCATCTTGCAACATACATGTAGCTTAGAATCATAGGCAGCATGAAGCTTTACTTCTGATTTGTTGATCAGCTACTAATCTCTAGAAATGATTTATGATGAAACTCTAGAAATGATTTATGAGAGAAACATTTTATATAAAGTTTGAATTCTTTACAAAGATCAGTTGGGGATTTTAAAACCGGAAGATATATGCAAATGACGATTATGAAATACACTCAGAAATAAATAAAAGATCGAATCGAATGTTTGTGCAATTCTGAGCCCAATTTGAGTGAAAAGTTTTGCAAGCAATGGTGTGAGCGAACGATCTAAAACTTTGTACACATGCTTTTCTGTTTTGACCTACATCAAATGGAACATAAATTTCGAAAAATGATTTCCAGTACTGTCATGTCAAAACAACTCAGTGAAGTTGGTTTAACCTTTCACTGCATGAGTATATTGTGAAAAATGGCTATTTTCAGTGTAAAGCCTCCTGTTACAAGTTCAAACTGCAATGAACTTATAAAAATGCTTCAACACTGATCAAACTTAGCACAAATGTTGACTGAACCATAGCCTTTGAATCTTAAATTTCCTGTTACCATGGCAACGTGCGGACATTTCAAAATTGTCAAAACTCATATTTTGCGGTGATTTCTTCCATCAACAGTTTGAGATAGAGTCATAGGCTTTTCAGCGTTGGTTACTCGTTACGTTCAGATCGACCTTAAGCCATTTTAGCCTCTCACGAGTCGAAAATTATTTTGGCAGTGAGTGGGGCTGCTCACTCCCTTCGAACCACCTTTGGCATCCCCTTGATACACTTTTTATAGGGGGCGGGACCGAAAAAGTGATCAACTTTTTCAACTACATCTCTCAAAACGAAACAAGTGTTAAGGGCTCCAAAAAACTATGTTTTCACAATCTGAGGCCCCACGGGGGGGGGGGGAGGCTGAAAAGCCGTCAAAATACGTTTATATGAGGTTAAAGGTTAAACATGTATCCAGTACATATGATCCTTTTTTCATTTTAAGGTATGAAAAATCAAAGTACATTCCATAATTATGATTTATATGTAAGTATAGTATTTATGTATTGATTTGTATCATCTATACGAAATAAAGGCTATCTAGATTTAAGTTACAATTCATAACACACTGACCATAGCTTTCGTAGAAGCAGTGGGCCCATTACACCGGCGGTGGAGCATTCCTCATCATTTTTCTCCCAGTCCATCTATCACTAACATCGGTAAGTTAAAAACCTAATTTAACTTTATGTTTTCGGCTTCATAAGAAGTAACTAATGAGACTTTAACCTGCTTATGTACTTATATGTATTATTTGCCATTGGTGTGAACACTTGTGTACATTTTGACGAAGGGACGTCGCTAATGCAACACTTTGGTTAAAACCGGGACAATTTTATACAAAACCCGATTTACTGCCAGCGTTAACAGGGTTCCTTTGCTTGTTTTGGCTAATGTGATAAGAACACAAAGAGCATATGCGCAAGATAATAAAAAGAAAATTATGATAAAACGACAATGGTGTCCCTTGTATGGCAGAACACGATATATGAAAGAAGGGAGACTAATCTGGCAGGCATATTTGGATTCGGTATCAATAAGAGTTACTATTCGTTGAACAATCAATATTTCTACTCAAAATAAAATATGTTTTTTTCTCTTTTTTTGACTTCTTTGAAGATGTCTTAGAGATGGGGTGATAAAATTGATTTTTAAACAAAATTATAAGTTTTTAAATATCAGATTATCTGTTGTATAAACATTACTGTATTATTACTCAGGGAAACCTAACATGGTACGATAATACAATTCCTGCAGTTTTACCAATGAACTTAAATGATCATTTAATATGTCTTCCACAATGCGATAACTGAAATGCCATGGCCCTTCATCATGTCGCTGACATAGTTACTTCTTATCTGTATTGCTGGCATAACTATAATAAAAGAAATGCTATCGAATGGTATCTATTAGCAATGTGTAAAATGATCAGACAGAACAGTGATATCTATCTGGCAAAAGGAACAGAAGAAAATCGCTTTATCTTTTGGGAAGGATGTTGTCTCGTTAATGTCAGTGAATAAGGTTTTCAATTAACACATAGATAATTGTGATTTCTATTATTACGTTGACATTTTACCAATGTCTGTCTATAATATATTATTGCAACGGTACGCAGACTGACCCTTTTGTTATGTATATATGTTAGATTATGCTTAAGCTGAAAGAAACAAGTTTTCCTCCCTTTAAACTCGTAGAACTTTTGCTGTAAGTTCATAAAGTAGTCAAAATAGAAACCTTAAAGTTCGCTCAGCAGGGCAAATTTCAAAGTACTGCATGAAGGCTAAACATGCGAAGGCATGAAAAAACAGTCGTACCGAAACTTGGCACACAAAGTGATTATAATCATTGCTGTGCTTTAACTTTCTGACATTGTAAATTTTCAGACATTGCATGTATAAAGTTATTAAGATGATTTTTTTCTGATTATTTTTATAATGTATGCCTACTCTTACAACAAACTAATCTTGTTTTATAAGAAATATACTTTAAAATCTATTTTCCCAATCAGGGCCCTTAAGTAGAATTCTTTTTGAAAGACCTTGTCCCAATATACCTTATTTTGAACATTACTATCTAGAACCTTTGATACAAACATATGAAATATACATGTTTTTTTTAAGAATTATGAATTCTTATGAATCTGTAAAGATCGGCAGGTGTCGAAAATATTGTTTTACCCGTATCTGCTCTCTTCGTATCTCGACAGTTTTCATTATATACTATTTTAGAACAGTTTTGTCACATGAGAGGGTGTTTTTTTGCCGCTGTGATGTCATTATTTGTAGAAATTCCAATATGGCGGATAGAATACATGCTCAATAAGTTTTTACTGTAATCGTTTAGCAGATAAAAAAGGTTATTTATTGTTGAACAAATTTGGAAATCGCGTTTTTAATAGAAAAATTTAGTTGCAATTTACATTACTACATATATTTAAATATCACATTATGTACAATGTCTGTTATTCAGCAGTCAGGTATAAAGTTTCCAATGTTTCATGGCTGTTTAAAAGTTATTAAAAGTTGTTTATATCATTGGCTAAAAATGATTTATTTGCAACAAAATGTATTTAAAAATGGGGAATTTGTGCTTAAAACCAGCGTTGGATAACACTCCAGGAAAATTTCAATATAATAAGGAAAGGAGGTTGACACGGAACACTAGAATGTTTTATTTATTTGCTGATTTGTCATGTGCCCGTTTTTCATGTTCTGCAACTCCACAATAAGCTACAAAAAATCCACATGTCTCGCCTCGCCCATCACCTCGACATACTTTTCGGGCTGCAGTGAACCTATGGCTTGATTATGCATCATACATATTTAATATGTTCGTTTAAACATCATCTTCGGACAAATGATAAATGATTATTAATATAAATCACAAGATGTTTTGAACTTTTGAAAACAAAGTCCATGTAATGGTAGCTTGGGCAATTACCCTGGGGGTAAAAACAATCTTATTGACCATTTATGTGACAGTTCTAATGAGGTTTCATTTTCACGAAGTTGAATTCGTGAAGTTAAAAAACGTGAATTCATGAAGTTGTATTCGTGAAGCTGAAATCGTGAATTCGATAATTTGAAGTCGTGAACTTGAAATCGTAAATTCAAGAAGTTGAAATCTTAAATTCGTGAATTCGGTTGAAATCGTTAATGAAGTTGAAATTGTGAGCACGTGCAGATGAACCCGAAAATTCAAAAAGTTGAAATGCCACAACCGGTATTTCTTACAATCCACAATAGCTAGCCACTTCATTAAAAAAATCTCTACCTGCATATAGATTTTCCACTAACATGTTGTATTTATTGATTTGTGATCCTAATTGAACCTTAAACAAAATCAAAATTGCGTCTTCAAACATGATAAATAATTCAAAAGTATGCTCTTCA